TCCTGGTACCCAGTGGAGTCTCCGGCGTCCAGTCTACGGTCTCCGCCAGGCGCCACGTGAGTGGCACGACACACTGAGGACTACGCTGGCGGCACTTGGGTTTGCTCCTTCTACTGCCGACCCGTCGCTGTTTCTACGCACCGACACTTCTCTGCCGCCGTTCTACATCCTCGTGTACGTCGACGACTTGGTCTTTGCCACTGCTGACACTGCTGGACTCACCTACGTGAAGTCCGAGCTGCAGAAGAGACACACGTGCACTGACCTGGGTGAACTGCGCAGCTACCTTGGCTTGCAGATCACCCGGGACAGAGCACGCCGCACCATTACCCTGACTCAGTCACACATGGTGCAGCAGGTCCTTCAGCGCTTCGGCTTCACGTACTCCTCGCCTCAAGCCACTCCTCTGTCTACTCGCCACTCGCTCTCAGCTCTGCCTTCGGATGAGTCCGTAGAGTCGAGTGGCCCGTACCCAGAGCTTGTTGGCTGTCTCATGTACCTGATGACCTGCACACGACCTGACCTTGCATACCCTCTTAGCATTCTTGCGCGCTATGTTGCTCCTGGGAGACACCGACCAGAGCACATGGCTGCAGCGAAGAGGGTGTTGCGCTACTTGTGCAGTACGTCGGGCATGGGACTAGTGCTTGGAGGGCGGAGTTCAGTTGTCCTCATTGGTCACGCGGACGCTTCTTGGGCTGACGACCAGGCTACGCAGCGGTCGTCACAGGGTTACACCTTCAGCCTTGGTTCCGGCTCTGTTTCATGGCGGGCTACTCGCTCGTCTTCTGTTCTCGGCTCCAGTTGTGAGGCTGAGATCTACGCAGGGGCCATGGCTGCTCAGGAGCTTCGCTGGCTCACCTACCTGCTGACCGACCTTGGAGAGCAGCCTCGTTCTCCTCCAGTCCTGTACGTCGACAACAAGGCCATGCTGGCCTTGTGTCGAGAGCAGAGACTGGAGCACAGAACAAAGCACATTGCTCTCCGCTACTTCCTTGCTCGTGAGCTGCAGCAGCGTGGTCAGTTGCGACTTGCGTACGTGGCCTCTGAGGCCAACACTGCTGATGTTTTCACCAAGGCACTTACGCCTTGTGATCATCAGCGCTGCTGTACCCAGCTGGGTCTTGTGTCTGTCTTGCCTCACTTGCTCTCCTCTTGACCCTCTTTGTACTGTTACATATATATATCACTGCTCTTGCTTGTTTAGTCTTATATATATATACATATATGTACTCCTGCATGTGAACTGGCCTTGTGGCCTTGAACTTGTGCTCGGATTGTGTGGTGACATTGTGATCCACCCTGAGCTTGCTTTGCTTTACTTGACTGGTCTTGTGACCCCTAGTTCTCCCCCACTTCGCCTATGGGGGTGTGTCAAACATTATATATATTTTTGTAGTTGTTTAGGCTACAGTGGGTTAGCCTATAGGGGGTACACACTTCTAGGTTTCCATATTTGTACTCGTTTCCTTCTTAGTCATTTCATTCCTTGTTCAACAGGGCCTACACCTAGTGAAATGTTACACTACACAAAGTAATGTAACTATCTTCAATATCTTGAGGTGTACCCTTTTGGCGAGCTTCGAAATAACTTGAGGCTTGACACCAAGGCTCGGGCTCTTCATCACAAACTCATCCTTGAGTTCTTGATGGGTCTGCTGCACACACCTGCGACACACCGAACGTTCGACACACGACAAAATAGAAACCGCGCACGACAAAAATAGAAACCGCGCGCGAGACACAAACGACCGCGTAACACGCGTCTAGCGATAACTCGCTATTCACTCGACACACACACTCGACATCATGACTCAACATTCACACACAATTATAAGCATGAAATATATATTATCCCATGCCCTCATACCATTCCATACACACACACACATGCACGCACACGGACAACAAGACGAGTGCAAACCGTAGGGTTGCACCGACAGAACTATGTCTCTGGAAGCATGCACTACAAAGCTTGGGCCTGTAAAATTCTGGCACCCGAGAGAAGCAACGGAATGCCTAAAGAGGAGCAGGTGATCTACGAGGACGAGATCGGTAGGGAGATCGGCGACGATATGGGGCCGAGATGGAGGGAGGCGCTGCGTAACGAGGAGCACCTGCATGGGCCGAAAATAACGAAATGGCGCTTGCGCGCGTACGTCGAATACATGTCGACTGAAACCGGCCAACAGGCGGCATCGTTGGATACAGGCCGGACCAGAGTCGCTGGAAGGAAGGCGAAAAAAAGCACCCCTCCGATGATGCTGGCGCGCCTTACTGCACTGACGTGCTTCTGCAGAGTAGAGGCCATACTCTTCAACGAGCCACTAACGAAACCCTTGGACGACATCACCGAGGCCCGGCAGCTTCTTGCGGTCAAGCTGCGGCAGCTGCACGACTTTCAGTTCGAGTAAGTAGGCTGCCATACACCAGACTCTAAAACTTTTCACTCAAATTCTCACCCAAGTACTCACTGTATCCGCCCACTCAATGCAGGCAGTGCGTCGATCCACACCGGGGCTCGCTCGACGATGTTTACACGCAGGAGCAGTTCCGCATTCTCGTTTCAGACATCCTGCCGTACTGGGCCAAGGAGTAATTTCGGGAGCCGATGAGTTACCCCAGTCAGTCGCTGTGGAGGGCCTTGGCGGTGAGGGTGATGATCCTGATGGCGCATCACATGCTGGGCAGGGGGATAAGCATCCGCGAGATCCGCTACTGCAATATGTTCACTCACGTCCTTCCGCCCATCACGAACAGCAAGGGGGAATCGTCGATCCACGTTCTCGTGGTCGCCTATTGCAACTCGAAGACCATCAAAGACAACAAGCTCGACCACCTGTACCTGACTCGACACATGGACTTCCGGCAGTGCGGCTTCGGAGCAGTGTTCATGTGGATACATTTCATCTTCGACCTTCTGCCGCTCCACTACAACAACGATAAGATCGTGTCCCCCTTGGATTTCAGCAACTCGGAAAATTGATCAAGGAAGCACCTGTTCTTGGCCCTCTTCGACAAGGACAAGACCGAGTTGCCGTACGCGACTCATGCCAAATGGGTTACCTGGGTGATGAAAAGCGCGGAGTGGATCCTGTCGAAAGTCACACATATCTTTCGACAGTCTGCGGCACAGATCCTCGCCGACAAAAACTGTGAACTCGACAACATCGCGCAGCTGGGTCAATGGGACATGAATGAGATGCGCAGGTCATACGTCATAGGCATCCCGCGCGGGGCCATCCAGCTGCAAGCGGGTTTCACGACGGAACCGGGTGACTATTACCTTGGAAGATCGAAGAGCGAAGTACCCGCGAAGGTCCTGAAGGCTATCGAGGAGCACATATTTCCAAAGGCGGAGCACTGGCTCGACGAGGTATGGATGCGTCGAGCGCTTAGCGTGATCATCGAATGCAAGTTTTGCCCGTCTATCTCTCAATGTCACCACGCTTGTTCTTGTTCAGGCGATGGAATGGAATAACGAGCAGGACAAGGAGCATATGTTCTTCGCAGCGAAAAGTTTCTTGAAGGCCCTGCAAGCCGCCCGAATGCCCATCGCCGAGGATCTTGCGATGTACTACGTCCATTGTGACGACCACCCCTTCGACGGAGTGACTGTTTGCGACTGCGAGCGTCACCCTTATGCACAGATGTCCGGTTTGTGCAAGGACATGGATTTCCAAAAATGGGCGCTTGACGTGTACCTGCTCGACAAGTACGGCATCAAGATGCGGACCAACCCCACGCTTTCGAGAGCTTAGGTAAGATGTCCCTTCTAAATCTTAATCCGAACAGATTGCATCAGCCCACTTACCTACTACTCGTGATCTTGTGCGCAGGACGCATCCTTTCAACTCAACACCAAGCACCTCATCACGCAACTTTGGGCAGAGGTTAACTTACACAAGGAGGAGGGTGGGAAAAAAGAAATCAAGATCAAGGGCCTCGAGCAGAAGGTCGAGTCATTGGAGCGGGAGAATGGCGCGATGCAAGCGGAGTTGGAGGCGAAGGCAGAAGCACTCGCGCTACTGCAGAAAGCGTTCGACGCACTGAAGATTACCGCCGCGACAACCGCAGCTGCGAATGTGGGGGGGAGCGAGAGTGTGCCGCAGACGGCGACCGAAGAAACCACCCCGCAACCACAGCAACCCCCTCAATCAACGCCCACTCAACAGAGCAAGGGCAGCCAGCTCGACCAAGCATTCTTCGACGCAGTGGTGTGGCCATGGTGCAATTGCGAGACCGTGCGGCAGGCGTGGTCGTACTGGGACGGGCCAAGCCCGCTGAACAACGGACACAGTCTTCGACACGCTTACAGGAGGGGTTTCGCCGTCAAGTTCAGCAAGTTCACTTCGACTCCTCTCACCGTTCCCCCCGTTGCGGTGGACCAGCCAAAAGAAAAGCCACCGACCCCAAAAGCTGTCGAGTCGAAATTGCGGAAGATGGAGGTTGTCATGAGGGCCGTCGAGATGTTCACGGTCGACGACAGCAGCGCGGCTACGTCGACGATCATTGATAAGCTTGACTCAATAGTCACGAACCACTCGATCAACATGCTGGCTGAAGGGCTCGTTCTCAAAGAGGATTCGGGGAAGCAGCTCACGAAGAAGCGCAAAGTCGAGATAGCAGAAGACAACCGGAAGGACAAAGATCGCCTCAGGATCACGCGGGAGCTCATTCGCGTCGAGCTTCGAACCACGAAATGGGCCGAGAACGTGTTCAAAGACAAATGGAAAGAGTTCATGAAAACATTGGGCGAGAGCCCAAGTTCGACAGGCAATCGTGACGAGGGGGGAAACTAGAGTAGGGTGTTCTTTCAGAGATTGCATGGCAGGTTCTCATTACTAACCGACCATCTCACCTGTATGAACCTTCTGAGCATTATCGCAAACGGAAAGTCAAGATCCATGCAACATGTACATTCTGTCGATTAAACTTTGGAAACAACAAACACAACTGTCGAGAATAGCAAACACCCCCACGCAAAGTGCCCGCCTAGACTACTCCCCTTGCCCGCCCGTTTCCGTCTCAGCTGCATCCTCGTCGCCCTGCTTCGCCTTGCTCTTTTCTTCTGGCATAGCCAGGCTGCCATAGCCCGCGTCCTCCAGCAAGCGGGCAGCAGCTCGACAGCAGCACCATTGCGTACAGACCTGTGCTGCCACGCGCAGCATCTGCAGCAGTATGGCGTCCGTCGAGCCGAGACCTTCGACAACCGACGAATACAGGTGATCGGGCCACTGCTTCGCCGGGAACGTCTTGCCGACGTGCAAAAGTATGGACACGAGTGCGGACATGGCAGCCACACAAGCCTTCTTTGCAGTCTCCGGGGTGTAGATCGCCGCGTTTGCGGCAGCTAGGGCATCCTTCTTAATATCCTCCCTCGACAACTTCCTGCAGGCCGCCCACAAGCTCGCCACAGTTGCTGCGATGGCCATCATGTGCGGTGTCGCCGCCATGCCCTTCGGGACCGGGTAAATCAGATTCTCGTGCTTCAGGCCAAGCCCCGCGACCTTACCAATTGCCACGCACAGCGCAATTCCCCTCTTGGTTCCAGCTTTCACTTCCTTTTTTGCCGTCGCCAACAGCGACAGGTAACTGCACATCGCAAGAAATGCGTTAGTCAAGAGGCCAGAATTCGACCGACAGCACATTCACCGCAAAACAGCAGGTGTTCGACAATTCACCAAAACAGCATGAATTCGACAGTAGAGTCTAGCAACATGACTTCGACAGGACTTACTCGTCGAAACGACATTCCCCTTGTTCTTGCGCCACACTCCAAACGCCGGTTGGCATTTCTGCGGCCACATCGGGGTAGACCTTCTAGTCCTCCTCATCCTGCGCCGTGTACCCTTCGTACTCCGTAAGGACAACGTCGGGGAAGTACACGCGCCAGCAGACGGCCGTACAGAACTTCTGGTCCTTCTCTGTTTCAAAAGTGCCAAGGAACCGCTTCCTCCCGCCGACGGTCTGCTTGGAAACCGGCTTCCCTTTCCGCAACCCGAAACCCGGTCCTTTGAAGGGACGTTTGCAGCCTCTCGTCTTGCCTTGGTCGTCCAGTCGAGGAGGTGGGGTGTGACCCGTGACCCTGGCCTTCTTCGCCTTTTCCTGTCGAGCAGCAACGACAATAGAGGTCTTCTCGACAGGCGCCTGACCAGGGACGCTGGCCAGCTCCACCACGTCAAGGCTCTCTGTCGCGTGTGCAGCGCGCTTCGAAGACTTCGTCGCAGCCGGCTTCTTCTTCGACGTTGAAGGGGAGCCCGGATCGCTAAGGCAAACGTTGCCTAGGGACGGAGCAGCGGCGACAGGAGCAACTGGAGGGGTTGAGGAAGACGCCCAGTTTCCCACAAGCCCGACAGCAAGGCCAGCACCACTGCCGTGCGCAGCTGATGCCGCTTTAGTCTTCGACAGCAACCCAGCGCTTGCTTCTCCCGCTCCTTTCCCCGCACCGCCGCCTGACGGGGTAGAGGCACCTCGCATTCCTAGGGCTCTGTTCCCGGTCGAGGCGATGTGCTCGTTCGGGGCACCACTTTTCTCCCCCGCGACCACTCCTTTCCCACCCGTTTTCCCCAGGCCTTGCAGCATGTCCCGCATCGAAGCAAACGCATCAGGTGGATCGATCGGAGCCGCTACGGAGGTCTTCGGGAGGGCCGACTGGTCGAGTACGATGACTTCTTCGACGAGCTTGGCGACGGGATGACGGCCACGCGCCGGTGGGGATCCAACCGGGCTGCCGACATGTCCTCCCACCGAAGAAGACGGAGGAACCGACCGCTCGTGACCTCGAGGCTCAGCCCCGCTGCGAACCCCTCCCACACCCTCCTGACGCGACCTCGTCGACGGGCCCGCCGAGCGCTGAAAACCTCTCGCCATCGCTTCGGTGAGGACTTCCAACCTGCCTGCTTCGGCTTCATGGTAGCCTTCCTTCACAATTTCCTTCAGCTCCTTCATGGTCTCAGGTGGGAGGGTGGAGCAGAACATGTCCTCCATGATGGCTTTCTCGAAACCCTTCAGTACCGCAGCAACCAGCCGCTCCTCGACCTGCTTGAGCTGCTTCTCGACGGCGTCCTCGCTCGCTTTTGTGATGGTGGCTGCCACCCCCTCGATGATCTTCCCGCTCATCTCGTCGATCTTCGCCCGCGCCCCTTCCAACAGGTTCCTCTCCGCCGTGACACCCTTCACAGCCTCGGCGCACTGCGACAGTGTGCTCTTCGACGACTCCGAAATCGTATTCCACGCCGTCCGAAAATCCGCAGCAAGCCTGTTGAATACTCCGGCTTGCTCAGTGTGTTTCGCAAAGACATCGGCGACGAGCTGCTTCTGCGACGCCTCGACCTTCTCGACCCTCTGCAGTAGCTCGACGACCTGGCCTCCGGGTGCAACGTTCGCCGTCGATTGGCCTGCCGTCGAAGGCCACCCGGTCGAAGGGCCCGCCTGTCCGCAGCCACTGGCCGTGCGGTGACTCCTTGTTACGGCGGCTTGTCGCTCATCTCCTCGACGATACTCCTCAGCAGCCTCCCCGTCCTCCTGCTCCTGCCCTCCCGACCCACCCGCGCAGCCGCAACCCTAAACTCCTGCTGCTGTGCAGCCGCCACGCCCTCCTGCTGCGGCCTGTTGGAATCACTGAACAGGAATGAATGAACTAGCATTGAAATGAGTACAAGTACCTAACCCTAGAATTGTGTACCCCCTATAGGCTAACCCACTGTAGCCTAAACTAACACAACATATATAATGTTTGACACACCCCCATAGGCAAAGTGGGGGAGAACTAGGGGTCACAAGACCAGTCAAGGCAAAGCAAGGCAAAACAAGCTCAGGGTGGATCTCAAGGATACCACACAAATTCCGAGCACAAGCAAGTGGTCACAAGACCAGTTCACATGCAGGTTTATAATAGAGCAAAAGGTACAATGATCACAACCTAACAAGAGTAAACATGCAGGTATATATATAGAGATCACAGTACAAACAGACTCAAGAAGTAAGCAAGTGAGGTCTAGTAGGCACAAGGCCTAGAAGAGTGCAAAAGCGCTGATGGTCACAAGGCTGAAGCGCCTTGGTGAAAACATCAGCAGTGTTGGCCTCAGAGGCCACGTAACGCAGGCGAAGCTGACCACGCTGCTGCAGCTCTCGAGCAAGGAAGTAACGCAGAGCAATGTGCTTCAGTCTGTGCTCCTCACACAAGGCAATGGCTGCCTTGTTGTCGACGTACAGCACTGGAGGAGAACGAGGCTGCTCTCCAAGGTCGGTCAGCAAGTAGGTGAGCCAGCGTAGCTCCTGGGCCGCCATGGCTGTGGCGTAGATCTCAGCCTCACAACTGGAGCTGAGAACAGAAGAAGAGCGAGTAGAACGCCAAAAAACAGAACCAGAGCCAAGACTGAAGGAGTAACCCTGAGACGACCGCTGGGTAGCCTGGTCATCTGCCCAAGAAGCGTCTGAGTGCCCAGTGAGAACAACTGGGACTCGCCCTCCAAGCACTAGCCCCATGCCCGACGTACTGCACAAGTAGTGCAACACCCTCTTAGCTGCATCCATGTGCTCCTTCCAGTGACGGCCGGGAGCGACATAGCGTGCAAGAATGCTGAGAGGGTATGCAAGGTCTGGTCGAGTGCAGGTCATCAGGTACATGAGGCAACCCACAAGCTCTGGATACGGGCCACTCGGCTCTACGGACTCATCCGAAGGCAGAGCTGAGAGCGAGTGACCGGTAGGCAGAGGAGTGGGCTGAGGCGAGGAGTACGTGAAGCGGAAGTGCTGAAGGACCTGCTGCACCATGTGTGACTGAGTGAAGGTGATGGTGCGGCGTGCTCTGTCCCGGGTGATCCGCAAGCCAAGATAGCTTGTCAGTTCACCCAGGTCTATGCACGTGTGTCTCTTCTACAGCTCCGACTTCACGTGGGCGAGTGCCACAGTGTCAGCAGTAGCAAAGACCAAGTCGTCAACGTACACAAGGACGTAGAACGGCGGCAGTGAGGTGTCGGTGCGTAGAAACAGCGACGGGTCAGCAGTAGAAGGCGCGAACCCAAGAGCCGCAAGCGTAGTCTTCAGTGTGTCCTGCCACTCACGAGGCGCCTGGCGGAGACCGTAGACTGGCCGTCGGAGGCTCCACTGGGTACTAGGAGGGAACGACCCAGTGAAGCCAGGTGGACGGCGCAGCCAGATCTCCTCGTGCAGGCTGCCCTGCAGGAAAGCAGTGCTGAAGTCAAGCGAGTGGAGCTCGTAGTCACGCTGAGCGGCGACGTGCAACAGAACCCGAAGAGTGGTCATCTTTGGGGTCAGGGAGAAGGTCTGGAAGAAGTCAACTCCCTCTCGCTGACTGAAGCCTCGTGCAACGTAACGCGCCTTGAAGACAGGCGGAGAGCCCGGCGGCCGCTTCACCCTGAAAATCCACATGCCACTGACGATGTTCGCCCCAGGTGGGGGAACCTCGTCGACGTAGGTGCCTGTGGACTTCCAGGAAGCCATCTCTGTGTCCATGACTGACTGCCACTGAGAGGATTAGGGACCGGCCATCGCCTCTGCGTAAGAGCGTGGGGTCGGGATGTCTGGTGCATCCGGGTCTCCCTCGGGGGCAACAAGCATGGACACGAGATGGGGCAAAGCGGCAGCAAAGCACTCAAACTCCTCCTGCCTGTCCTCAAGGACGTCAATGCCAAGAGCACACTCACCCCCGACGGACGGAGGACAGACAGACTCAGACTCAGCAACTAGGCTAGCAGCGTAGTCTAGACGACAGCGAGCAGCAAAGTCGACAAGCTCAGCAACTAAGGCAGACGCAGCAGCGGACTCAAAGGAAGGGTCAGTGACAACAGTAGCCAGGAGACGCGTGACAGTAGGACTGATAGCACAAAGAGAGTCTGACCCAGGGTCAGCAAGAGCAGGAAGAGAGGAAGCAGGAGGAGATGGCAGTGGGACACGCTGTGGAGCAGTGGACGGACGAAGCGCCATCCGGTGAGTGCCTGGGACAGCAAGAAGACGCTGACGCTGGACTTGACTACTAGAGAGAGCAGTGCGGACAGGCGACTCAGGACGAGACTCAGGCGGCGCAGGACGAGACGCAGGCTCACGCCGCTCAGTAAGACCTCCAGTCGGACCAGTGTAAGGAGCAGGACCAGGGAGAGAGGAGGCAGACGGTAACGCCGACAGCAGCTGGACAGGCGGAGGACACGCTAAGGAGGGAGGAGGAAAAGGAGGAGGAAGCTGACCAAGAACCTGCTGAAGGAGCGGAACAAAGTACGGCCAAGACCGAGCAGCGACACCAGAGTCAGCAGGGACACCCGCACCAGGGTCCGCAGCACCAGCAGCAGCTCCAGCGCTCACGTCCTCAGCACCAGCGGCAGCTCCAACGCCCGGGTCCTCAGCACCAGTAGCAGCTCCAACGCCCGGGTCCGCAGCGCCAGCGGCAGCTCCAACGCCAAGGTCCTCAGCACCAGCAGCAGCGCCAACGCCCGGGTCCTCAGCACCAGCAGCGGCTCCAACGCCCGGGTCCTCAGCACCAGCAGCAGCTCCAACGCCCGGGTCCTCAGCACCAGCAGCAGCTCCAACGCCCGGGTCCTCAGCACCAGCAGCAGCTCCAACAGCAGCGGGGTCCGGAACACGAGGCACGCCACTCCGAAGAGTGCAGCGCCGCTCGTACCACTCACGGATCCGCTCGCGAGAGGGGAGCTCCCGAACGGGAGAAGAAGCACTAGCACCAGTCCCAGTAGTACGTCCGGCTCGAGCGGTACCTCTCCTGAGGCTGCAGTACTCTAAGTACCACGCACGCAGCTGCTCCGAGGAGAGGGCTCCTCCAGGTGCAGGACTCCCAGGCCTAGTACCTCCAGACTCAGAACCCCCAGACTCCGGACTCCGCAGCTCAGCACCACGAGGCTCCACACCCCCAAGCTCAGCACCCTCTAGCTCCACACCCCAAGGCTCCACACCCCCAGGCTCCACACCCCCAGGCTCCACACCCCCAGGCTCAGCACCCCCAGCAGGACGAGAGTCGACAGCTACCTCAACAGGCTCAACCGGGTCTACCTGAGACACACCTGAGGGAGCGGCACCATGAGGGGGGAGGGGGTCTGCAACAGCAGCACCTGGCGCAAGGAAGAGAGGCGGGGGGGGGGAGCGGGGCAGTGCGGTAGGGGAAGAGGCGATAGAAGGGGACGGACTCGTCAAAAGTGACATCCTGGGAGGGCAAGACTCGGCGCGAGGTGGCGTGGTAAAACTGCCAACCAGACGCGTCCGGGACAAAGCCGAGGAAGACGCAGGGAACAGCACGGGAGGAGAGCTTGTCCGCAGACGAATCGCGGACAAAAGCTCGAGACCCCCAGACCCGGAAACGCGACGCATCGCCAACCTCCCCCGTCCACAGCAGCGTGGGCGAGGTCTGCGGCAAGGAGACACAGGGCCAGAGGTTGAGCTGATGTGCAGCGTACCGGACCGCAAACGGCCACAGAAAGTGGGGGGCAGCCGCATGGATCAAGGAGGTTCGAGCGACCTCCATGACCAGGCCAATGCGGCGCTCCGCAACCCCATTCTGCTGTGGAGAAGCCGGAAGCATGAACGACTGCTCAATGCCGTGCTCAGCACAGTAGGCTGCCAAGAGGTCGGAGGAGAACTCACCACCTCTGTCAGAGTGCAAGCGCAGGACAGGAAAGTCCGAGTGAAAACGCTCGCTGAGCTGGAGACGGGCTCTGCGGATCCAAGGGATCAAGACATCAGGGACCTCACCCTTGGTGCGCAAGGGGAAGACCGAGGTGTAGCGCGAGTAGTCGTCAACAACTATCAGGAAGTACCTCTCCTGACCCTGACCACGGACGCGGGCTGGGCCCCACACGTCCATGTGGAGTGTCTGCAAGGGAGCAGTCGTCGGGGGGAACGAGGAGGAGTGAGGGGCGGCGCGCTGCCGTCCCTCGACACAGGGGAGACAGGTAGGAGCAGGCGAGGGTGGGAGGGCAGGAAGGACCCTGGGCAGGCCAGAGACAAGGTACCGGGAGTGCATGGCACGAAGCCGCTGCACAGACGGGTGGCCAAGGCGGTGGTGCCAGAGGATAGTCTCGTGTGCCAAAGAGCGACACGAGCAGGGGGCGGACAGCTGACCTGACTCAGACGCGGACACAGTCGCAGCAACCTAA